TTTGATCCTCGGATGCATTCCATTTCCATATTTCTTATAAATGGTGAAACATTTTTTCGTAGTATATGGTTTTGTTGTATCGTTGCTGTCTTTTACAACCAAAGAAAGTATTGCACAATTTATGCATAGATACTTACATTATTTATTATTATATTAATAAAACACAGGATCGTAGTACTTATTGATAAAAAAAGAAAGAATTATTTTAACTTTTCAAATGAAATATTTCAAATCGATTAATGTTTTGATGTAACGCGTGACGTATTTATCCGAATGTTGAACGTTCGAAGCAAACTAATTGTTCGAATTTTCTATTGTTGGGCGCCATCTTGAAATGCTAATTTTCGCGTTCATTCCTGCTTTTTATGAGATTTTCCGAAAGAATTTTCATTATAAATGAACTTCAGTAAGTAAGTAAATTGTTATTTATGATTTATAGGAAATCAAATTAAATTACTGGCGATAAAATATTAAATCGAAACATATTTGTAGGTTAAGACATCGAATTTATCAGATTACGTATAAAATTTGATTCGTAATATTCATACATCAGTTTAAATGTTATATAATAAATAGGTTCAATACGTTCCGTGTAGGTTGAAGTTGTCTCCTGCTTCCTTATAATGTCGTTTTTATGTACAGTAAAACCTGGCTAAGACGAACTTCGTTAAGTCGAATTGTCTGCAGCTTCTTGTCACACAATACAAGGGTTTTCCATACTATCTCTTGTCGGTAATTTTAATTAGAACGTATTTTCCCGCGCGCCCTCCACTCTTTCGTAGCTTTAATCTTCAATTTTTTCCATATTCCAAATGCAAACCTCTATCTCGAAACCTGTTTATCTCGAATTTACTTTCCTTTCTCGCAAGATTCTGCATAAAAATAAACTGTAAGTAGTTTTTCATATTCGAACATTCGATGAATTTCTGTGGCCAGACAACAAATAATTCAAATCATAAAATATACGAATCATTTACTAAATCTCGAAAATTCACAAAAATAATTAAATGATACTTCCAGGTAATGAGATGTCACGTTTATACTCGATTCTGACGCACATCAATGCAGCCGTCTATCCCGCAAAATTAAAGCCCGCGTAGGGCGAAGAGAAAAGACACTCCTGAGAATGGAAGGCGGCCGTCTACCCCACACAATTAAAGCCCGCGTAGGGCGAAGAGAGAAGACACTCCTGCGGGTGGAAGGCGGCCGTCTATCCCGCAAAATTAATGCCCGCGTACGGCGAAGAGGGGTACACACTCCTGCGGGTGGAAGGCGGCCGTCTATCCCGCAAAATTAA